TTCTAGCTAATTAATTATTACAAAATCGAATTGAATAACTAGCTACACGAAGCTAATTAATTACAAACCGAATTAATTAATTAAACACTTAACTAATTAATTACAAAAATGACTAAGCTAATGAACTAATTAGCTAAACAATTTGAATAAATGGCCTCGGGAAGCGAGAGAGATATGCATGCTCAATTGCGTCCTTCTGAAAGTCCACTACTTTGCCTCTAGATGCCTCTGTTTGCACATCTCTGGACCTCTGAAAATTATGCCAACTTCCAGACTGCTTCTGTTTGATCTCAAGAATACACTAATGGCTGATCGGCTAGAAATGATGGCCATCGGCCACTACTGATGGCCGGTCGGCTGGATTTGGTGGCCGGTTGGCTAGTATATGTGGCCGGTCGGCCACTGCTTCCCTGAATTTCCTCCTTTTGCTACAATAGAGAGCAAACAGAGGCATGTCAGTGTATTTGCAAAGAAATGTGTGTACTGCTGCACCCCTTATCATGTCTCAAGCTCAAAGGAATGTGGCACTTGGCTTTCAAGCCATCAACCAAGAATTTTCAATGCATGGTGGCCAAGAACTAAGCTTGTACAATGTTGATGAATGCACAAATAAGACTCGAAGAGCCTCCACCCTATCATGCATGATCAAGAGGGACGGCGACCAAGAAATGTGACACGTTTCATCACTTTAAGTATGAAACGTCCCACATTTCTTGTGTTTGGATTAACGTTCGATCCAAACACATGCAATGAAAACAACATGCTTATCTTAGTCATGTTTTACTTGGCTCATTTCTTGTTTACACATTTCACATTACCAAGCCATTCTTTAACCGGTTAGTCCAATTGTGAAAGTCCTCTAATGAGAGGGGTCAACCAAAAGGATGGTTTAGGACATGAGTGAGATCATGCCTTTGACTAGGAGGAACCCTCAAAAGAGGGTTAAAGCCATTTGAGCACAAACTCTAACTCATGCTTAAACACAACCATGAGACCAAACAACCCTCAAAACAAATTGAAAATTGAAGAAATGGGGTGAGGTTCGCAGAATGCTTTTAATGCTGAAATGGCATGACAAATAAGACTTAACATGCAAGCAATGCATGCAAGATATGTTCAAAGCGAAGAGCATTAAAGCTAGTGAAGGACACAACACTAGAGACATGCAATGCAATGCTTAAAATGAAGAAATGGGGTGAGGTTGCAAAATGCTTTTAATGCTGAAATGGCATGACAAATAAGACTTAACATGCAAGCAATGCATGCAAGATATGTTCAAAGCGAAGAGCATTAAAGCTAGTGAAGGACACAACACTAGAGACATGCAATGCAATGCTTAAATGACTAAACCAGCTATGGACAGACCTCAAACATGCCAAAACAGAGGCTAACATATGCTGAGATGATAACATGAAAAGCAAGAAAATGATGTTCATGTATTGGCGCACAAACAAGACATAAAGCTCAACTCTCAAAAGTACTTATGTAAAAGTGTGACAGAGTTATAAGCACTGAAAACGCATGGTAAATAATGACATGCCATGCAAACATCATAAGCAAAGCATGCTAAGGGCCTTGAAACACAAAACTAGTGAAGCTAACTACACCATAGCTATACAAAGCAAGGCTCACGGGACCAAGACCATTCAAAACAGAGTTTAAACATGGAAAAACAAGGCCAAAACCATACTGGAGTGGGGCCAACACATGCTAGGAGAATAGGCTACAACATCAAGTAAGCTAGGCTAGCATGCATGATTACACTACAAGTGCACGATGCAAACAACTAGTGACTAAACTAGCCAAAAACTGAGTCATAACATGTTAAAATATAGCCAAAAACATGCTGAGAACAAGCCAACATAAGCCATAAAAACATGCTACTTTGTAATGCTAACAAGGCATGACATAGAGAGACAAAGAGGCGAGGCCACCCCCTCCTATTTGGGACCTCAAAACCAACTTTTCATCACTAAAAATCCCCTAGATTTCAGTGGTTAAAAGGCCAAAACAAGATTATTTCAAAGGCTTTAAAAGATGGCACAAAGCTTCACAAAGCTTAGCAAATAAGCAATGAAAGAGGGTGGACCACCCCTAACTCCAAAGAGGACTCAAACCAAAATTTTTTAACACTTAAAAATAGAGGTTTTTGTAGTTGACAACTAGGCCAAAACAGCATGCAAAGATGGCCAAAATTAGTGTAAAAAAAAAACAAGCTTTAAAGGGGTAAAAGCTTACCCTTGAAGCACAGCAGCCAAGCAACTAAAACTCTGAGCTAAAACCAGCTTTTTGAGCCCCAAACAGGCCTTCAAGAACCTCAGCTCCAAGGTAGTGGTGTTTGACTAGGTGTTTTAGTGCAAATATGTGAAGAAAATACACTTCTAAACACAATATAGCACAATATATATATATATATATATATAGAGAGAGAGAGAGAGAGAATTCTAGACAGAGAGGGGAATTTTTCTTCTCAGAATTTAAGAACCTCTGAAAAGGGGGAGGAGCCTTCCCTTAAATAGAAAAAGCAAGCAAAAAGCTTGCTTCATCCCTCCATACATACACGTGTATGGAGGCTAGCTTAAGTGATCAACCACTGGCACAACTGGCACACAAAATATCTAAAAAAGCAGAAAAATGGCCATCGGCCACCATTAGTGGCCGATCGGCCATTAATGAGGCCGACTGGCCATCAGTGTAGCCGACTGGCCACCATTGATGGCCGATGGACATGAGCCCTGGCCGATGGGTTGTAGGGTTGGCCGGCAGGCCACCCACTTCCCCAGAAATAAGGCTATAGGCCCTTGGCCACAACCAAGCATAAAACAGACAAGTTGAGAGGTCCAAAGGCAAGACACTTCGCCAAGAACTTCAGGCACTGAAAACAAACACGAACATAGATAATCATCGGGTGTTCAAACGATGACGTTCAAGTCTTGAGGACAGTAAAAAATGGGGTGTCTACAGTTGCCCCTCTTTGACAGAACTCGGAAGTCATGAAATGACAGGAGTGAATGTCAAAGCCCAGAGACGACCCATTTTTGACAAGGCCGAAGACTTAGACAAACAAGTAAGATAACAAAACACAGATGTGCCCGCAGGTCGGGGCAAAATATAAGATGCATGCAAGATGCAAGAGCATAACTTATGATCATGCAAAAATGGCTGTAATGAAGCATTTAAATGCAAGAATTATGCAAAGAAAATATGACATTTTAAACAAACCAACAAATACAACAATCTCACTCATGAGAAGAAGTACGTAAATAAACACGCCACGCGCGAGAAACATAAGTCGAATCGCATTTCATACAGAAAGGATATAAGAAAATTATGCAATCTTCATTGCGCCTCACGCAGGAAAGACTAAAAGCAACTATCAAGAATATCCGAAGTCTCAAACGAAACACCTCTCAACGTATCACACGTGAGAGAGGGAAAGAAAACACCTCTCAACGTATCACACGCAAGAGAGGGAAAGGGATCATCTCTCAGCGTATCACACGCGAGAGAGGGAAAGGAAACACCTCTCAGTGTATCACACGTGAGAGAGGGAAATGAGACACCTCTCAGCGTATCACACGCAAGAGAGGGAAGGGGATCACCTCTCAGCGTATCACACGCGAGAAAGGGAAAGGAAACATCTCTCAGTGTATCACACGCGAGAGAGGGAAATGAGACACCCCTCAGCGTATCATATGCGAGAAAGGGAAAGGAGACACCTCTCAGCGTATCACACACGAGAGAGAAAAACTACAAGATGCCGGTGTAGACATCGGCGTATCTAAATGTCTCTAACCAGCAAGATAAGTTGAAAGAGCGGAATAGTTTTACCTAGAATTCCTCTGAATGAACCGTACATACAATATCGTCCAGTGACACCAGCTTTGAATGAGCCGTACATACAATATCATGCCTGCATAAGAAAGAAACTTAATAGGTACAATGCAACACAATGCATGTTCTATGCAAGATCAATCAGCATGCTCTATGCTAGACACCAAATGCATGTTCCCTGCAAATGCGAGAAGTGCATCTTCTATGCAAGTGTAATAAGTGCATGTCTCCTGCAAGAGAGACAAATGCACGTTCTATGCAACTTACAATGCACATTCTATGCAACAAGTATGGACAACTTCTATGCGAGTTGAAAGGGCATGTACAATGCAACACAATGCAACATGCATATTCTATGTGAACAAGAAGTGCATATTCAATGCAAGAGTGAAAATGTGCATAACAACGCAAGTTGTGCATATATGACAAAATACGCTAACGCAACATATTCAAAAGCGATTCATCGATCTTGTAGTATACAAAAGGATATGAAAAAGGATACACTTTGTTCGTATTGAGTGCCACGCACTGGAAACACAGTTCAGAGCTTCCATGAAGACTGCTTGAGCTTAAAAGTGTGTTTTCTTGAACTTTCTTGAGAGATGAAGGCGCAAATCAACGACACAACCCCAAACTAGAACATTGGAAGTCCACTGGCCACAAAAGGAAGCCATCAGCCACCCATCGGCCACAAAACATGGTAATCAGCCAACAACTTGGCCGGTTGGCCAACACTGATGGTCGATCAGCCATCAATGACAGATTCGGGGCAGATTCGACATTTCACCTCAGGCCTTTAAGTATGGGGTTTTAAACCCTATTTCTTTACTTTCTCAAGGCCTACAAAAACTTTTCCTTTCATTCTAGACCATTTCCCCCTTCCAACCCGTGCTTTCTACGCGTTTTCAAGCATTCCATAAACGTCTGAATCGCAAAACCCTCTTAGTTCTAAACATTTTGAACCGATCAAAAAGTGTTTTCCGTGTCTCTTTCTTGATTTCCTCCATTTGGGGTTTGTTTCCCTCGAGTTACCCTTGATTTTTGTGCTCTTTTTCGAGCCTTGACATTTTCTTCCACTTTTCACCCCTCGGAGTTGACTTTTTGTTGACTTTTGACATTCCTATCCATTTTCCTCATTTTCGACTATTTTTCCCATTCCTCTTGAGATTGCGGATAACATCCTACACGGCGGAGCTCCTCTGGGGATGGAGATGGATCCTGAGTTTGAGCCTTTACCTCTCAGCATTCGAACTTTTGACCCTGCGACATACCATCCGGAGGTACACGTGCTGCCTTCCGATGGCATCTGCCAGTTTAGGGGGTTTGCGCGAGGTGCACCGAAGGACCTCTTGCTACGCGAGCCAGAGTCACACTTATCCCACGACACCTCTGAGGTATACACTTCCTCTCTACTTTTCGCAATGTAGATCGTATTCATATTGCTCTTCAGCTATTCAAACCCAAACACACTTGTGCACTATACCACTTATACTGCCTTGCATCTGCTTATCTTGAACATACCCTTGCACTGTATTTCTACATTGCCTTGCATCTGTTTATCTTACTCACAGGGAGATTCACATGCCTTCCGAGGCTACGGGACTATTGCTACATGGAGCTGCCTGACGCCGTCCGTCATATCGTCGACGAGGCTGGTTTCGGCGTATTCTGCATGGGACTATCACATCTCACTGCCAGCCGGCCTCTTCTAAGCGCTTTAGTAGAGAGGTGCTGGGATACCACCGATTCCTTCCATTTCTCTATAGCAGGGGAGATGACGATGATTCCCTTTGACTTCTCTATGCTCACCGGCATAGGGGTTGGGGGTCATCCGATTCCTTACGACACCGACATGGGCGAGTGAGATGCTGGTCAGATTTACTTGCTGGGGACTCGCCCACCCCTCTCTCGACCAAGGATGGTGCGGTATTCATAGTTCGCAGACTATTTCAGAGGGGAGACACCAACGACCCACGAGGAGACTGAGCACTATGCTCAGGGGTTCCTCATGTTCTTGTTTGGCACTACTCTCTTCGCCGACTGGGCGAACACCGTCGGGCTCTACCTTCTGAGCACCTAGGTGGACTTGTCCCAGGTTCGTTATTATGACTGGGGCGGCACCGGCCTCGCCACATTATATGGATACATGAGCTCCTCTTCCTACCGGAGCAGGCACCTGCTGGGAGGATACTGGATGGCTTGGAAGGTATGTCCTTCCCTTCTGCTTTGCATTTTCATTTTACATTACCTGTACTCCGTACACTGCATATTGCATACACTACCTACTGCTTTACATTATCTATACACTGCTCACATGGAATAATGCACTGCATATCATTTGATTCCTGCTTTATCTGTATTTGTTCGACATACACTCACTGTTACCCTGCTACATTCCACAGCTATGGGTATATGCCTACTTCCCGAGGCTTGATGCAAGGTGAGAAATGCAACTAGTATGGACAACTTCTATGTGAGTTGAAAGAGCCCGTACAATGCGACACAATGTTGCATGTGCATTCTATGCAAACAAGAAGTGCATCTTCAATGCAAGAGTGAAAAGGTGTATAACAACGCAAGCCTTGCATACATGACAAAATGCGCTAACGCAACATATTCAAAAGCGATTCATTGATCTTGTGGTATACAAAAGGATACAAAAAAGGATACACTTTGTTCGTATTGAGTGC